ATAAATAAAACGTTATTAAAGTATGCTATAACGTAACGATTTAATGCGTTTAATAAATTGCGGTTAATATAATATTGGAAAAAGCTAAAAGCGCCCGTTATGCTAAAATTTGTTACTAAACATTTAAAAAGGCCGAATTTAATAATAAACGCCGTTTTCCATTCGTTTTTTAAAGCAATTCGTAAGCGGTTAAACGTTGCAATAATATTTAATTTGGTAAAATATTTAGCTTTCGAAAAAGCGTTTTAATGTTTTTTTTAACCAAAAGGATTGGGTATTTATTTTTAACGGTAACGTTATTTAAGCCCCGGTAATTTACGCAAACGCGGATTCCCCCCCCCCCCCCCCCCCGGGCTTTTTTGCTAAAAAAACCGGGGCAACCGTTAGCGATATGCTATTGCGTATAAAGCTTTTTGCTAAATATTTGTTTAAATATTTCCTAACCATTCGGAATTCCTTTTAAAATATAAGCTTATTGTAATGGTAAAAAGGCGTTTTATTTAAAAATAGCTTAATTTTGTAATTGGAAAAGCGGTACGGTAATAATTTATTGGCGTTTTAAGGAAAAAAGCATAACGTTAAATTGCGGAATTTGTAAGGAAAGCGTTATAAATTTTCCTTTATCGTAACGAAGGGTTTGCTATTCAGGTATTTTTGGATATTATTGTTAAAAATGCGCCGGAAGTATAATATTTTTTTAATTCAATTTTGGAATGCGGTTAAGCGTGGTATTAGCATATCCTGTTACGGTACGATTGCATATAAGGACCTCGCATGGGTTGTAGCCCCAGCTACAACAACGTTCCTCTTTTGCTTTAGTGTAACGGGTACTACCTTGGTTTGGTCCCGTAACATATCCCAAAGGATTTTATTGGATAAAATTAAAATAAAACAAAGGATTTCCATTAACGTATTGTTAACGAATTAATGTTAAGGGTCGATTAATGCAAAGGCGGGTAATTACTAAATTACGGTTTGGATGCGGTATTTCTTTCGTTAAATTGCCGTAATGCTTTTTTAAAAGTGCTACCTTCCAATTAATTGTTCCTTTTTTAACCTCCCCCTTTTCCGCGCCTTTTTCAGGGCGTACGGGGTCGGTTTTATAAATTTTTTATGCTTTTAACGCCCCCGCGCAATTTAAGCTTCGTTTTATTTTTTAATTTTGCCGTAATGCTTTGTTTGCAACGCTAGCGGCTTACCGGTGCGTTACCGGTAAGGTCCGTGCGTTACCAATTGTTCCGGTGCCCCCTTTCCCTTTTTGCCGAAGCGGTTTGCCCGTGCACTTAGCGGGTGGTTGGCTTATGCATTTAACAATTGGTTAGCGCTTATTGGAAGTATTAAAAGTTCGGGCAAGTTTTAGCGTAAAGCTTTGCTATAATTATTCGTTTAAATTGCACGTTTTTTTGTTTGCAAAATAGCATAAAATTAAAAGCGTTAAGCATGCATATATTTGCGGGGTTAAATTTGTTATCGTTGTTTTTTGGGCGGTTGCGTAATGGGTTGCTAGCGTTCGGGTTTAATTTTAATAACGTAATGCCGTGCATAATTATTAAGCCCGTTATTTAATCGATATAAAAGTTGTAATGGCGTAATTAAAAAAGCTTTAATATAATGTTAAAGCCTTTCGTTTTTAATGGCTAAATGTATATGGTAAGCGTTTTTGTTTGGCAAGCAATGCGGTAACGCATTTTAACGCATTTGCAAAAGTAACCCGTAACTTTGTTATTAGCTAATTTTAAAAGGATAGGTTTAAGCAAAGCAAAGCGTAATAAGTTATGGTTATGCGCAAAGGTATTGTTAATAAATGCTTATAAAAAACATTCGGTATTTAAAAAAGTGCAATACCGGGTTGGTGGCATTTTTTGGCAAAAAGCTTGCTGTAAAATGAAAAAGTAAAATTGGGTTTTATTAAATGTAAATACTTTTTTTTTTTAAAAAAAATTGTTAGCAAAACGTTAATGGCTTTAAAAGCAATTATGCCCAAAGCTTATTTTTTTGGCTTTTTTTTTATGCAAGCAATCGTTTAATGCCCCGCCCCGCCGTAATAAAAGCATAAATTATTAATGCGTTTGTATTTCTTTCAAGCGTTAATAAAAAAGGGTTAAAGCCCCGTTGTAATTTTGTCGAAATTTATAGCGTTTAAATGCTAAGCCGGTCCCGGCGCATCGTTAGCGTTAAAATAGCGTGCTAAAAAATAAGCGTTAGCGTTTTGCTTGCCCCGGAAAATGTTATTGGTAATGTTATTAATTAGGTTTTGGAACAAGCTTACTTACCTTTTAAAATTATCGGGTCCCGAACGTTCCATAATTAACGTAATGGCTTTATACAACGGGCGGTTAACCTTTTGCTTAAAGGTTAATATTTGTAAGTTATTAAGCAAATTGCATATATCGCTAAATTTAATAAAATTGCCGATAAAATTGCTAAAAAAAATTGCTTTAAGCAAATAATTCGAAATTTTAATTAGTTTTTGCTAATATATTGGTAGTAATGTAAATTTAATTTAGCGTTTTAATAACGTTTAGGTAATTACGCTAACCAGCGGGCCATTAAAAAACGTTATTGCCCGCCGTAACGATTTGGTTAATTTTCGGTTTTATAAAAGCAAAAGCGTTATTACCCAAATGCTGGAATAAAAAAAACGCGTTTTAATAACGTTAAAAAAGCGGCCCGATATAATTTTATTTATATTTTAAGCAAAAAGCGCCAATTGGTATAATACTTTTATCGCTGGATTTGGTCCATTTTTATGCTTTTAAAATTTTTAAAAGTAATTGTTCGGCGGCAAATTGCTAGCAATAACGGGGCGGGTTTAAAAGGCTGCGTTAAAAAAAGCGTATTTGTAATTAATATAAATATAATTTGGTTAAATAATTGCCGAATTTAAATTAAAAATTTGCAAATCGTTATTTTTTGGTTCGAAATTATAACGTAAGCAATGTTAACGTTTTAACGGTATGTTACTAACAATTCGTTAATAATTTAAAAACGGGTTTTTATAACCCGGAAAATGTGTTTAAATTGGGCTTAAGCTTTGTTAAAGCGTTCCAAATGCAAAGCGAAATATAAAACGGCGTAATTGCTAAAATCGTTTTAAATTGCTTTGCGTATGGAATACAAAATTGGAAATAAAAAAACGGCGTTTTGTAAAATTGTTATTGTTAAGCTTAAAAAGCCCGTTTCGAAAGCATTAAATGCGGTGGATATAATATAACCGCGGCGGTAATTTGCTAGCGTATTGCTTGGTTAAAAAAGCTAAATTAAAAAAGTAAAAGTGTTTTCCCGAAATTATACGGCAGGATTTGGGGCGGGTATTAACGTTAATTAATTGTAAGCAAAAAGGTATGCTACCGTTTTACAAGGTTATTAGCAAAGGAAAGGACGGAATATGTTAATATCGGGTTCCAAAAATTTAAGGTGCAACAAATTGCTACGGCGCACACTTTATTGTTATAAAAAGGCTTTGTAAGCGTAACGTTAGCGCGCTAAAAGTGCGGCTTTAGGTTCTTCCCCAGGTGCCCCGACGCGTACCGTAACACGAAGGGTTGGAAAAGCGAATTTACGCTTTTGGATTTGCCCAAACATTTTATTAAAAAAAGGGAACGGTTAAACAATAAGGAAAAATAATACTTACAATTAACAAAAGGGCGGAAAGGATAGTAATACGTGGCTAACGGGCCTTAGCCATTAAAAGGGGGACTTAATGTTACGACCTGGCAGCAAAGCTAGCATTAAGTTACAAAAAAAGGCTTGGTGGAAAGCAAAAAGCGGGGTCGTCCCTTGGTTACGTAACCCAAGCAGGTAATATGTTGGAAATTAACATATTAATTGATATAAAGGATATAAACATATTTTACATATTAACCCTTTTAAAAGGAACGCGTGGAATATAAACAGGAAGGGTTTTTTATTGTTATAAGTAATTTTTAATTAAAGCTCCGGCATTAATTAATTTAAGTTCGCTTTTAAATAACCCTTAAAGCAAGCATTTAAACCGCACCCAAATTATTTTGTGAAATCCCCTTAGTTATTTTAATTACGTGCTACTGTTTAGTACTCCTTTGGTGCCTTACCTTAGGAGCAGAGGCCTAACTGCAACACATATATTCACATAAAATATAAAGGATTTTTAACGGTTTAATATTTAATAATACTAAAGTAATAATAAAAACAATAATAAAAACAATAGTAAAAATAGTAATAAAAATAATAATAAAAATAATAAAAAAGCAGTAATATTATTAGCAATAAAAACGGTAATAACAACGGTAATAACAACGGTAATACATTTTTAATTTTTAAATTTTTACTTACTTATTTACGTATTTACTTTTTATGTACTTGCTTATTTATTTGCTTATTTATTTATTTATTTAAATAAGCTTTAATTAAATAATTTAAATATTTATTTAAATGACTAAAAGTAACTAATTTAGTTACTTTAGTTAGTCATTAGTTAGTTACTTTTAGTCTTAGTTACTGCCGTAACTAAATTAGTTAGTTTTTGTCAAGGGGGTAACTAGTTTAACTAATTAAATTCCCAACCCTGGGGCGGCTGCGACTGGCCGGAGATGTTTAGGCCGCAGCGGGGAAGGCCTTTAGCCATCCTGGCCGCTACGAGCCTTTGGCCAGTGTCACGGCAATTGGGGGGGTATCCGTGCTCTAATAGCGCACCCATTTGCACTGGTGCCGCCCGGATACCCTGATACCCCCGCCTGATCAGCGCCAAATTTGGGGCCCAGAGTCACTGGAGCAGTGCCACAAGCTGCGATACCAACCTCGCCGGACCATGACCAGGCCCGAGTCTAAAATACAGAAAGGGCTGGAGACCACTGTACGCAACCAGATCTAACGCAGCGTCTCCTTCATCGCGAATAGGATCTCGTCGTATGGCACGAGATACCATTGAGGATAAAGCAAGCGCTTTCGGCGCGAGCTGGCGTCGACAGGAAGTTTCCTGGGTCTCGAGGACCAAGCTTACGGCCTTCTCGTTGTGCCCAAGTAGATACCTATGTATATTTGGAGAGCACAAGCATCCGATAGACGTAAACGGCCATTGTTTGCCACAGGTACTTCCTTGGATGCGTCGAACAGACTCCGTAAATACCACAAAATACCACGATTATCAGCGAAACACTTGCAAACAGACGGGACAACCAAGCCAGATGAAGATTACCACAACTCCAATCCCAGATAGCTATAAATAATTACACAATTTCCACCAGCCCCAATTCTCAGACAACGCCCAACGCCCAACGCCGAAAAAAACACTTGCACGCAAACTAGCGACAGCCACCCCATCCCACACTCCTCTCGTTCCACATCCACTGTCTACATAAGTACCTGTCCGGGCACCCTTCTCAACAAAGCACGTCTTTCACATCTTCCTACGCCACACCGGCTGCCTTCCTCCCACCTCTGGTTCCAGGGGGCCGGTTGCCGTTGGAGCGACTCGCAAGGGGCATGGCGTTGGAACGGCCACCCATCGCAGGCGTGTTGGGGGTATTGGTGCCGGTCGAGGCTGCCTTGTTGCCGCCGCCATTCAAGGGCGTCTTATTGCTGCCGCCAGTTGATGGATTCTTGGTGTTGCTGCCGCCATTCAAGGGGTTTTTGGTGTTGCCACCAGTTGAGGGATTCTTGGTGCTGTCGCCGTCGAGAGGCCCCTTGTTGGAACCGCTGCCGAGAGGCTTGTTGGAGCCGCCGCGGGCGTCACAGCTTTTGACGCCACGCTTGCAGTATTCGCCAGGAGTGCCGGCGCCGGAGCGGTCGTCGAATTCGGGCTGGAAGTTAATGCCTTCTGGCTTGCCCTTGATATCCAGCTTTGACCAGTCGGCCCAAGGGGATTCCTTGTACTTTCCAAGGTCAAGGTCGAACCTTTCTCCGGTCAGACGCGCATAGGTCTCCGTGTCCTCTTGATTGTCAGTGAATGGTATCAGCATCTGGTAGTGTGCCGACCCGACCCAGCCACCCGGCGATATCGGGCCCACGCGGATCGCAGCCTTGGGGTTTTTAACCCCAAGGCTTTGGATATATGCGTTGATCTGCTCCTCGCTCGTTCCCTGATACTCCTTTGGCAACCAGACAAACTCGGCCTGGCCGTCCATTAATATCTGGATATATTGATGCCAGTCCGGGTGCTTGATCGAGCTCCAGTTGATGTGTGGCCCTCTTCCGGCGTGCTGTGCCACCTGGAGGGATTTGTGGAGAGGTACAGGGAGGGCCTAGTGGCTCAGCGCAAGAGGGTGCCTATCCGACCCCTACCTGGGTGAGAGTCCGCCTTCCTGGCTGGCTGCTGGTATTTACTATGTTTACGCGTACAGTATCAAACATCCCACTTGAAGAACGTTTATAATATTACACACCCATTGGAAACGTCGCGATGCCGTCCATCCAGTTTTTGCCCAGGGAATTGGTCGAGCAGATTTCCGGCATGCTTGAATTGCAGGATCTCGCGCACCTCGGCGGCACCTGTTCTTCCCTCCGAGCCTTTGCGGCACCTCGACTGTTTGAGACGGTGGTTTTCACGGATAATGCGCGCGCGGCAGACTCGGCTTGCCTCGCAGCCGGCCGATACAGCGCCTTCGTACGGCACCTCAAGCTGATCGTGACATTTCAGGGATGTACCGACCCCGAATGCGACTGCCTTGAAAGCACCAGCGAAGCCTGTTTTGCCGTTGCCAATCCAGACATCGGTGGCATCCCTCCGAGCGCAGAGGTCCTGCTCGGTGGTGGTGCCCTTCCGGCCCTTAAGAGCATCATCGTCGAGTTCCCGGCGCGATACAAGCATGCGGGCATGTTGTTCGGCGACTGGTGGGACGAAATAGATCCACGGCTGGTACCGATGGGCGACAATTTCGCCATCGTGGTGCGTGCCGTGACGATGGCGCTTACACGCAACGCGTCCATCAGCAGCATGTCCCTCCTCAACTATCCACCAATCAGCCCCCTCGATGGTGCCTCTCCTGATTACAATGATGCCTGGAAGGAGCTTTTAGGACGACTCGCGGACTTCCGCCTGTCGCTCTTTGGAGCCTTCTACCCACTCCACCAACCGATGGGATACGGGACAGAGGAAATGCTCGCGTCCGACGACTACCGCGCCTCCCTTCAGCATCTAGAAAGCTTCTTCTTCGCTCATCTCCGGTCGGTGCGGCGTCTTGCAATCTGCTGCTCCAAGCATGCCCCCTTGGGCGGGGCCGAGCGGGGGAATACCAACCCAAGAACGCGCATGAGCATCGCCCTCGCACTCGATCCAGCCGCAATGCCATTCCTCGAGCACCTGGAACTGAACAACATGTTCCTCGGCCCGGAGCTGGGCGACTTTCTCGTCGGCCTGGGGGCCGACCGGCCGTTGTCGCTGTGTCTCGACAACCTCAAGCCGGATGACCATTCCTCTCTGCTGCCGGGATACACGTGGAAGGAGTTTTTCGACCGGCTGGTGGATAGTCGCGTCTCCATCTGGCGGTTCCGCTTGGCGCCAACGGAGGTGCCCGTCAGATCCAGCCCAGCCCACGAGATCATGGCGCGAGATCCCAGCCGCCGGGCATTCCCCTACGCGTGGATGCAATTGGAGGAGTCTTGCCTCCAGGACGACATGGTGCGAAATGCGCGGTCGGTCGTTGAGGGAGCGGATTAGGAAGCCTACAACAGGTTTTTGGATCTCGTGGATGACAATTTGTCGCGTGCGGGGATTTGAACGATGATGCCATGATGTTTGGTATTATTAAGCTAAGGAGGAGAAGAAAGGCTGAAGGAAAGGTGTGGCCGAAGGCCGCACCTTTATCCTATCAGTCCTTTTGTCTAGTCTCTAGCCAATCGGCTATCAACTTTATCAACTACAACTGGCGACGCCGTGCCATAACTGTTGGAGTATGCTGGGCATGGTTCAAGGTTCCTTGCATTGCTAGCTTGTCTAGCAGAGTGCCTCTGTGAGAAGTAGAAAAGGCCATGGCGTTATATACATAGTGGGCAGTCTGCTGTGGCTTGTGCTCCTAGTTACTAGCCAGAGGCATGTAACATTTGTTATCTCAACAAAAACAGGTCATGTAACCTGGTTTTCTCATCCTGGTCTCCAGCGTGGACTTGGTCGTTGAATAAAACCCTGGCATAAATGAGTAGGAGAAATAGTAAAATCGAATATACGGCAAATAATACATATAAAATAGGCTGGTCACGCCAGGTTGGAGCCACGGCCACGCAGTCACATAAAGCTAAAAAGGGAGTTGGAATACTAAACGACCAGGCGGCAGCAAGCACGGCGGAACCGAGCTTGAGATGTGGTCCGAGGCGGCGATCTGCCGAGCCGCGACGCCAAATAAGCGCTATAGCCAGAAATGTGAAAAGCATGGATATCCATGCCAGCGGAACCTGGGAATAGCAAGATCTTGGATGCGGGATTAACAAGTTGCATATATTTGCCAGGGGGGGGGGCCTTACTCACACGTGAAAGTACGACTTATACGTGGACGCGAGAGCAGTTAAGCCACTCAACGGGAATGTGACCACATTATAAGCAATGAGAATGTGCAGTAGCTGAACTTGGCGGCGATGCCGGTTCGGGGAGCACCAGTACTTTATCGGGCTACTAAACAGGGGGAGCGAGTTGTCCGTGCTGCCCTGGTTGTTGGCCGTGATGTCGGGCTGATCTTGTTGTTGCTGTTGTTGTGGTCGGGGCTGTGGCGTTAAACACTCAGGCACAATGATAAGAGAATGGGATCGATGTCCGTAAGGCACTTACTTGGAACCTTCCTTGCCCGCCGTTTCCCGATATCTCTGCCATATCGTCCTGCTCGGCAAACAAAGCTGCCAAAAACCCACACCCGTGGTTATCAGTCAATTCCGCCGTGGCCCTAATTCCTGCCGTTACTTCTTGGAGCGACGAGCCTCTGGGCTCGTGCTGTGAAGTTGCAACCACTGGTTCGTAACGTCTCGGCAACTTGCGTTCCGGGAGAGTAACGCGGACATATGAATGATAAACCCATTGGTTGTGCAAAAAAGCAGTACCAGAACCTATAAGTATAGGTAGCCGGGGGTCGGTATTTATCGAGCTATATCCCCGCTGGACCCGGACAGAATATGTCATAGCCGCGATGCTCAAAATGATATGGGCGATGCTTATAATTTGAAACAAAACTCGACGTTTACGAGTTTGCGGTTGCCTCCAGAAAAGCACCATGGTGGGCATGTAGAAAGCGGCAATAAAGAGGACCAGTGCGGCGTAGAAGGAGGAGACATCATATGCTCCCTCGCGTGCTGTGATGTCAATGACGACAATCGAAAGTAATGCTGCATACAGCTCCAGGGTGAGCATAACACGTAAAATATTAATTGGGTGCCGAAAGGACGTGCTAGTAAAACCCAACACCATGATGGTTCGATTAAAGTGTCGATGTCCGATAGCGGAGGGACTGTTGCAAGAGGAGAAAGTCGGCTTGGAGAGATCTCAATATATTGGTATCTTTCTCAGGGCCTCAAGGAGATGCTTGGGGAAGCAGAATCTCCTCGAGGGATCTCTTCGAAAGGCGGGGTTAGGACGCCCAGTCCCTGGTCGGGCTCCTCCGCGATGCAGGGAACTTGTGACGGTTGGAAGCGCCCCAATCATCCAGCGTCTGGTGATTGCGCCACTGTGGGGGACGTGTTGTTGGTGGGCAATGCAACCAATCCCCCGAGCGCCTAGCCATCGTGACTCCCCATTGGGTTCCTGGGGAGCGAATCGGCCTAATGGAGGTCCGCGGGGTCAATCCCCGTGTGACAAGGACCGTGAGGAGCTGGAAAAGGGAGAACAACTGACGATTTGTACGGGATGGTTTGGGGATGACACAGCCGTTTTGGCTGGTCAGGCTGACTCTGGCGCACGTGCGCGCACGCGTGACTACGCCTGTCCCGTAGGCGAGGCTGAGATTGCTCCACAAGAGCAACCTGCACGTTGCATACTTACTGGATGCCTAGAATAGATGTCGGGTTGCTTGCTTGTCCAGTGTGACGTCCCAAGGCAGTTCACCGCACGCCGCAGGCATCCACGCGAGCCCGTGCGATACGACGATGCGTGGCGTACACCCCTGAGGTGCACCCAGAGCATCCTTAAGGCTATGTTGTGCAGCTGTGCCGTTCCTCTACAAGCTGCGCCGCCGCCGCCGTACTCCCTCCCAGCTCAGGCGCTGCGGTCCACAAAGTGCGCCAGCCAAAATCCTCAGCAAACATGGCCCCCAGGCTCTGCTCGCGGTGCCAGAACTTCGACATCCAATCGTTCAAGAGGGACACGTTCAGACTGCGTGGTTATCCCCTCGTCGAATTTGTCAAGAGCGCCAAATCTGGCTGCTCCTTCTGCAGTCTCGTGCTCCAGAACCTCGAGGCTGCCGAGCTAGACCATGGCACAAAAAATTCCCTCCTGGAAATGGCCGCCCGCCATGTCGCCGGGGAATCGCCGCACAGGCTGTTCTACTCAGATACTTGGGTTACGTCTATGCTCTCGTGGATGTGGCCTCCTTGGCTAAATATCTATCCGGTACGGCATCCGGCTGCCGAAGATCTGGAAACCGGTGACCAAGAGCAGGACGCGCTGCAAATATGCGAGCTGCGGGCATTTGTGGCTGTCGTTCTAGGCTCCGAGATACTCAGGCAGGGGGCCAGCCCCGAGATTCATCTCCATGTCGCCGCCGACCCAGGTAACATGCCACGATCCCCAGGCTTCATTTGATGCACAGCGCGCGAGAGAGACGATACTGCCAATGACAGTGGCTAATCCGCAGCTCGCTGCAGGGACGCCCGCGCATTCGTCAAGGGACATAGTCGGCCGGATCGAGATGGGGAGCTACTCGTGGACCCCGAACCATGCACAGTCTCTGGCACTCTGGCACCAGAGGTGTTCGCAAAGCCACCGCAATTGCAGTCTTGCCCTGTCGCGACGCCACCCAATCGGCATCGGGACGGTACCGCTCCCGACTAGGTGTGTCGAGATTCTGCCTGTTTCTGCGGACGACTGGATCGGCGGCCCCGACCAGCTGAAGTTGGTCCTGAGAGAAACAGCAGGCCAGTCCGGGAGATACATCGCTCTTAGCCACCGTTGGGACCAGAAGACGGAGGCGACGCGGACGACCAGCGCCAACTATTCCTTCCAGAAAGAAAAGTGTCGCGGCACACCCCTGTTTTACGACGCCGCCCGCGTCGCTGCCTCGCAGGGCACCCGGTACATCTGGATCGACTCCCTGTGCATCATCCAGGACAACGTAGATGACTGGGTTGCCGAGTCCGTCCAGATGGCCGACTATTACCAGGGCGCTTGGCTCACCATAGCTGCTACCGCGAGGCACGAGACAGGCGGAATTTTCGGCCCCCTGCAGGCGCAGGAAATCATGCGCCTGGCGCGTCTCCCGTACTAGGACCGACAAGGCGTCCAGAATGGACATTTCTATCTGCAGTGCGTCGGACAGAAGTTCCTGACCAGAGACTATAGCGAGAACGTTATCCGAGGCCCGCTGTTCCGGCGCGGTTGGATATACCAAGAGTTGGTGCTCAGCCGGCGCCTCCTGATGTTTTCGCACAGCTCCATCTTTGTCTGGTGCTCGGAGGGCACAAAAACACTGTCCGGTGACTTTGTGGAGCTTCCGGAAAGCAGTACCAACCAACAAACCGTGGACCGCGCGTTGAGGTCCTCGGTATTTGATTTGGATACATTCGATAATATCGTGTCCGCATGGGAGATCATCGTGGAGACATATTCTGGCCTGGAAATCTCGCTAATCGATCAGGACCGGCTGGTCGCCCTGGCCGGAGTCGCAAAGGAGTTCGGGAATGCAATACGGGCCCTGCAAACCGCCGGCCAGTGGCCGAGATTTGATGCTTCGCACCGGTATATTTGCGGGATGTGGGAGTCCGGGCCCAGGGCGTTGTTATGGGAGCAATTTCCTTCGATCCCGGGTCGACGCACCCGGCTGCCCGGCATCCCGACGTGGTCGTGGGCATCCATGGAAATGCGTGCCCCGTCGGCGCCAGGTGAGGGAGAAGGAAGCCAGGTGGCGAGAAGAGGCATGGGAGTGCGGTGGTCCGACAAGCAGGGGGGATTACGCACAAGTCGGAAGCTCAAGAGGTTGGAATGCGACATCTTGAAAGTCGTTAGAATACCTGTTGATCCACACAAGTGGGAGCCGCAGTTCGAAGCGCGCGACGCAGAGAACGCGGTATCCACGGCGCTCGACGAGCACGGTAATTACGCCCGGTTCTTCGCGCTCCGCCTGCGCGGACGGCTCCTGCCCGCGCTCGTCCACGACTTCTTCCGGAGCGAGGAAGACATCGCCATAGCCGCGAGCGTTACGGACTACAGCGCAAATTTCGGGCGGTGCCTCTGGCGGCGGGTGACCACGGTGGAGGAGCCGGACAGTATCGTCGGCTGGGCTTCACTCGAGCACCCTGAGTACCAGGGCCCCGACCCGGAATCTCCCCCTGAAGACCTTGGCCAGCGCCATCAAGAGCAGAACGCCGGAAGTGGCGAGGATCAAAGACAGCAAGAACCCCGCCAGCCCGAATATCTCTTCGCTTTCGTCGTTGAGAGCATGCCAAGGACGCCCGGAGGGTTTGGTTTTGGTAACCTGCGGGGATATCAGACCTCATTCAAGGTGTTGTACCTGGCCCGCAAGGAAGTTCCCGCATTTGGGGATGACGAGTGCTTCGAGCGCGTCGGTACGGGTAGACTTTTTGGCAACGATGTCGAAGCGTTGTTTCGAGGAGCCGAGGAGAGGAGGCTGTGGTTGGTTTGAAGCGGAACTGGGGTTAGAGAGAGAGAGCGAGGATGCATAGGTAAATGCGGAATGCTTTTGGGCAAATCGATTTGGTTAAAATGCTTTAATGAGCTGAGATGTGGGTTGTGGGACAAACGAAAAGGGAGAAACTGCGACAAATGGACCGATATCTTTTATTTATCCATCGTCCATCGTCGGCCCGTTTCGAAAAACCGCGTTGCGATTGAAGGAGCTAGGAATTAGCCTTTATAGCAGTCCCCCATAAAATAAAACTAAAAACGGAAGAACGAGACACCGACGCCTTTACGAAGTGCAGTAAGCAGACCCCTCTAGTTCCAAGGGCATGCTAATTATTTCATGTTGCTTATTGCTTGTTGGCACCGCTATTAGAAATGGCCCGATTGCTTGCCGGGCGCTGTTGATCGGAACCGAAGACGAAGGGCAATAAGGCTACCAACACACAGCAACGATGGGGCAAGGCTCAGTCGGCCTTCAACACGTGTGCGGAGTGATGGGGATGGATTTGCAGGGAAGACAAGGCGGCGAGAAGCCGTGGTGTTGGCACAGCCTTACGCCAAGGTCCAGCCCCATGCCTATCTAAAGTGCTGGGTGGGCAGCTTACTGTTGCAGACAGTGCCTACCAACTTGACGCCAGGTGGGGGCCGTGGGCGCTTGCAAATGCAACCTTTGCAGTGATTCTTTCGCCTTGCAAACGAGCTAGCATGAGCGTGTTTACGGCCGTCGTCTGGCGCGAGCAAATAAGGGTTTCTTTTTTGCTTAGGCCAAATCTGCTACGAGAAGTTGCGGGGGTGTGTTGGAAAGGTTGGTGACTACGTCCTCGCTATAACGTATCCCAGGACCGTCCACGGTCGCCTCCCCAAAAGCATAGCAAGGAAACACCCACAGCCCAAACACCGGCAACGCATCCCGAAGCACTATTTGGGCCTCATCCGGATCCAAAAGCGTTCCAAGCGACGAAGGATACCCAAGGCCGGCGGTTTGATCGAGCCATGACTTCCACTCTCGGTCCAGATGGGCCGTGGCGCAACCCCGGTCGATAATCTTGCCCGATTCATGCCCAAAGGCTATGAGAAACTGAAAGGGATCGTTGGAATCGCGCTGAATGCCAAATCGTTCCTCAAAGGCAAGCCAATCCCGGGTGCAACGGGTGGGATGATCCAAGGTTTGAAATTGTTGCAAGTCCAGCCTAGCGTAAGGACGAGGGTCCTGGTCAAGCCAAGTGAAGGTGGTCACGGCGGGGGTGGATTCGAGGTCTTTGCGGTAGGCACATGCCTCGCAAGACGGGGTGATAGGAGACTCCTCGCGAGAATCGTCGTGATGGATGTCGGGCCTAATAGGAATTGAAACTCCAAAGTGGGCCTCCGCCTCGGGCATGCCGTACTCTCGTCCATCTCTGTTCCATAACGTCCAGCAGCGCAAGTTTCGAATGTGGAGGGAGAGCTTCAACCCCTTTATGATGCTAGCAAAGATATCTGCGGACTCGGGGGTGTCGGGCCTCATCTCTTGTATGTGGGATGGCCAGAGGGTGCACAGGAAACCCCGGGCATAAAGATGACTACCGAAGTGTTCGGATCTGCCCCAGGTTCCGCGCCATTGCCCGCCCAGTGAGAGCCGAGTGATGCCGACGAGCTTCGGATCCCGTGCGCGCAGACCGACGAGGAAATCGACAAAGAGACCCCCGCAGAACGTCGTGGGATCCTCATTGTAGTCGTCAGTTCCCTCAGGGACGATCGGGAAGAAGTCAATGAGATCGAGGTCGGGGCTGATGTGAACAGTGAGTCTGCCACCCCTCTCGCAGGGGACCGGGACGCGGTACACGGACAGGTACTCGGCACGGCACTCGGCGTTGACGCGCAGGAAGGCCGGCGAAAGGGCCGACCAGGCCAGTCGGCGGCGACGGGCGAGGGCCGCGAAGACAGCAGGGTCGTCGCCTGTGTCTTCCCCAAAGTTTTGGTCCGAAACGGGGAATCTGGGGTCGTGGCCGTCGTACAAAGGCGGCGGGCGTAGCATTACCGAGGGCGCATCCTGGCCGTACGTGGCGGTGAAGCAGAGCAGGCGGTGTGGGAGCTGCGCAATGGCATCTTGCCAGATCTTGGCTCTGATTTCGGCCGGGAGTTTGGGGAAGGAAGTGAATCGGCAGGTGCTGTTGTCGCCGTGGCCGAATTGGTCGTTAAACAGGGGGCCGTCTGGAAACATAGCCGCGGGTACTGTTTCTGATTCCATCAAATGCTTGCCGCTGGAGAGACCCGGGCACTTTGGAAGGCGCAGAGGAGGGGAGGAAATGAATGGAGTTGGTGCTGCAGCCTAATGTGGTGGCGTGTTGTTGGTTGTTGCGGCACAGCCCGGTGGGGCACCCCGCCCACAAAAAAGATGGCAGCCCGAGTCTTGTCTTACAGGCACGGAGTGTTACAAGCAGGCCTCTGCTCCTAAGGTAGAGCACCTAAGGGGCACGAGCAGTAGCGTGAGACTGGGTAACTTGAGTGGTTTACAAGGGATCTCGGGTGCAGGTCTGGATGCTTGCTGCAAGGGCTACTTGGAAGCTGACTTACATTAACTGATGCTGGTTGCGGTCGCTGCTCTGCTGGTTTCTTTGCAGCAGGTCGCCTACAGATGTAATGCGGCCCGGTTCGAGAAAACCGCAGGGAAGATACAAGTTACACCCCACCAACATAAAGGGTCCAAGGATGACGGGCAGTCGTTTTAATTTTATCCAGACTATGGAAAAATGCAGAAACTCTTACTCTACATGTGGTTTACAGCACTGGACTCTCGAGATATCCAGAAAAAGAATGCGCGAAGAGAAACATCCGTCTCCATCAGTCCCCATCGGCACTGCGCACAATCGAGAACACATCGTCCTCCCGGCCACTTTTGACCACCCCCTTCCCCCCCTTGAAGCTAGCAGGGGCCTAGCAGCCGGTAGGACGGTTGCTCAGGCACTGGGTCAGGCAGACGCCCTGCAGGTTGACGTCGGTGGCGTAGCCGGAGCGGCCCTAGTTGACGCACTGGCTGCGGACGGCGGTGCCGGCGGGCTCGAGGTTGCCGTAGAGCACGCCGCTGGGCACGTCGCGGTTCCAGCTGGCGCAGCACTGCCGCTTCTCCACCACTGCCGGCGTTGTGGCCTCGTACGTCGTGATGACGCCATCCTCGAACGGGATCACGTCAACCTGGTGGAAGCCCTCGAACGCGTCCGGGCTCGGGACCAGGGACAGCGCCGAAGTGTCAACGGGGGGTGGCGGCCGCGCTGGAGGCGAAGGCCAGGACGGCGGCGGAGATGGTCTAGTGAAGTGCACTTTGGCTTTGGAGGTGAGAATGGTCTCGGGGTGGGATTGAAGAGGCAGGAGAGGAGAGCAGTGCTGAGAGCGAGTCGAGTGCTTGGTTTCGAGCTATGGGCCAGGAATTCTGTTTGAAGGCGGCTGGTGAGCTCTTCTAAATTTGGGGACAAACGAGGAGGCCGAAGCTGGTTTATATACACGAGCAGGCGCGTCCATGAGCTCGAGCTTTGTTGTCTTGCTCCCCGCCGACATTCACATACTGCCTTGTTGACTTGTTGAGATTGTCTCTCTTCACCCATCTGCCTCATTGCTCCATCCAAGCGTCTCTCCCTCCCAAGACACCAAAGGATCTCTCCCCCAAGGCGCCAAGGGGAGGCTTTGCATAGAAAGCCATTTGCATCGAGGGCCCCGGCCAAGATGAGGCCCCCGATCGCTGCGAACGATGCACGAGACGGTTATCGCCGAGAGGTGGCAACTGTTGAAGTGTCCGTAGTATACGCCCATTGCCTCATGCAAGGCTGGCCTTGAGCCTTAGACCAAGACCGGAACAGAGTCGGGAATGTAACTGTGGCGAGGCAGATCTTTCAATATTCTGTTCCGAAAGCGGCATCATCTTTGGAAGCCCCACACTATCGCTCCGTCCCGGTCTGTAGTAGCCTGGCCGCGCGATGTAATGCTAAGACCTCGGCCAGTGGCGGAATTATTGGGCCGTTGGTTGAACGTTGCGCTGCAGACAAGTCGGCGGGCGGCACGGTTCTTGACAGAGAATCTAGCCCGCCCATGTGGGTATCTGGGCAGCTCGCGTAACTGAAAACTAGAAATAAGCCTGAGTGTATGTCATTATAATTGTGGGACTCGGCCGGGACTCGGCCGGCCGCCCGTGGTTTCTCAGGCGCAAGTCGCGTAAAAAATGTCGTTTACGCCAAGAGTCTGACGCCCAGGCCTGCCACTCTGCAACTCCAGAGCCTCAGCATACGTCCTTTGCTGACATAATCTTACGGCTAAGCCAAGACCCCCCTGAGCTGGAGCATCGATATGCGTGCTGTCCCAAGAGGCTGAAGATGACGGATACGCTCATGTGTACCCCTGAATTTGCCTAGGGACCCCACCAGACATACAGCTGAAGACAAATGTGTTTGTAAAACGTGATTGGCTTGGTAAGGAGCTAATTATGCGACCCGGCCAACCAAAATGCACAACGGGTCACGTCGAAAGGTGGATCTAGGTAGCTGTAGTAAGTATGTGGTTTGTGTACTCCTGTTGTTACTTTGGCTCGCTACTCCAATACTTTTCACGATGCCACAACGGTTCGTCCTCCCAATCGCTGCGGGATCGGATCTGGCGGCTTCACGTTACTGAGGTTTTTTTGAGTTGTGATATCACTTTGACGTGAGATTTGGCATAATTAACTGAAACTGCGCTCAAAGTGGACGCAAGTTGGTATTTCGGAATTCTCGTGTGCATTGGGCGCAGCCAACCAAAAAGTGAAAAGGACTCAACTCAAATTCACACTCTCCGGGAATTCAACCGGTCCTCAGCCCCCGCCATACTTCTGGACAAGATTTCTCATAACAGCAAGTACCCTATCGATAGGTCAATATCGTCGGTGAGGCCAAGTCAATGTGGTTACTCTTGCCCGGGAAGGGAGTATGGATTCTTACTTGGTCTCAGGACGGCGGGGTCGAGCTGTGTGCTGGGACCTGTGAACCCGAGCCGCTTTTTCGAGTCCACGCCATGTTCTTGCTGCTGCATCTCCATTCCGTGCTTCGTTGGATCATATAGGCCTCGATCCTGCAGATATTCGACTCTTGGTTGGCCCCTTCTCTTTTCAGTTACAATCGTGCGGCCAAGAGCGTTCTCACTGCGTGATATGGAGCTTTGCTACATTTGCAATTGCAGGAAGTCTCCAGTGCTCTGCGTCGAGGAGAGTTGCGTACGCGCCCACGCATGGGCTGGCGAGTGCGCTCAAGTCGACAGGCTCTCCCTGGCACCGCTCAGAGGACCTGTGGAGAAAGATGGTGATCCGGGGAACATCCTCTGGGCCCAGGGCCTCGCTGGAAAGATAACGCTCGACGGCGTCGAGGTCGTCGAGGGCAATATCGGAAACTGGAGCCGCGAGCTGTCTTCGAGCGAGTGGAGGAACGAGGCCCCCGGCGCCAGCATGGACCTGTCGATGCCGACGCTGCAGCGGATCGAGGGTATGGCCAAGATCAACTACTGGGGCAACGTGCGCTCCATCGAGATGCCGCTGCTCGAGTCGGTCGACGAGGGGTTCTCGGTCACGAGGAGGAGCGTGCAGCATTTCGATATCACGTCGCTAGAGAGGGTCGGCCTGAGGCTGGATATAAGCGGCCACCTGCAGACCCTGTCGCACCGCCGGCTTCTCGAGTACAAGCTCGCCCCTAATGACTACCCCCC